GGCTTGGGAATCACAGATTTGCATAACGTTACGGCTGGTGATGGCTAATTGGTCGGCCGGGAATCACGCCACATGACATTTGCATAGTGCTACGGTTCAGTAAGCATTAATTGGTCATCGAGTCCGATGTTGACGCTATAAAAAGGCGACAGTTCGACACACCGGATATACGTCACTCACGTCTAAGTTCGACTTGGGAATTTTTTTTTGTTCAATAATAAATGTGAATTCTTCTTCCTGGAAAAAATAAGACATTCCCTGAAAATAAGATCTAGCGCATTTTTCAGAGCAAAAATTAATATAAGACACTGTCTTATTTTCGGGGAAACACGGTAGCTTTAATTTGAGTGTGTTTTTTCGTGTTGGAACGAATTATTTGGTTTTACGTGTAATCGTATGGGGAAAAATGATTCACCTTACGGCATTTTCATGATACTATCTTAGTTTCGGAACGGATTAATTTCGTATCCTGAGGTACCGCTGTATTATAATTGTCTAATATTTTTGTAGTTGTAAACAGGGCTATGGAGTCGGAGTCGTGGAGTTTTAGTCGGAGTCGTCAAAAAATCCGCCGACTCCGACTCATTTTTACTTCCCAACTTGTTATATATATATAAGAAAAGTATTGGAATCGTGTCAAATTTGACCCTCCACTTTTTTTATTTTTTATTTATTTATTTTTTTTGCAAATCATGTTTGGAGACCTCCCGAACCCCCAAGAAAGTCAATAAAAGGAGAAAAATTCGCGCGCGCGTGTGTGTTGGCGTCTAATTTGTTTAATTATTTTCTGTTCCGACATATTAAACAATATCTCAGAACGGGTAAACTTTAAGAAACGAAATGTGGCAGTGTAGCTCACGTATAAAGGGGCATTAATACTATTAAATTTTGGTTCTTAAAGGTCGATAGGGTGAAGACATAAAAGTGGTCGTGTGTCATATCTCTTAATGAATATTTTTCTCGTTATCAGCGTTCAAAATTAAAAAAATAAATAAAACTCGTCTCTACCCTCAAAGTAAGCTTTTTTGTCGTTTTATAATAGTACAGTGAAACCCGTTAAGATGTTAGAATGTGTATGGGGACACGATTTGGTTCAACACATCGACGCTTAATAACTAACTGCTGCGTTAAACCATCTGACTCCGATTTAAAAAGCACAGAAATTAATAGGCTACAAACAGGGTGAACAAAATCATGCCCCACACGCACGGTCTAACATCCACACATATAGAGAAAAAATTTCGAATTTTTTGCATATCTGGAAATTTCGAGGTGTGCCGAATCCAAAAATGTAATAATTTGGGAGGAGTCATATTTTGACCGAGCGCTACACTTTTCTTCTGTTATATATAACAGCCGGTAAAGAAAAAATTATCCAATACGTATTTATATATAGACTGTGTCATTACTTAGAGGAGTCTTTTAGCTTTGGAATAAAAAGAGGATTTTACCGTAAATAGAAACGGTCTCGGATTTTAAACTTCTTCCGGAGTAAGTTTCGAGTAAAAACGTACGCCATTCACTAAAGAATATTCTGTTTTCAATTTAATTGAAAACCGAAGATAAAATTTTGTACCGACGAAGTTACGAATGTGACGAATTACCAACAAAACTCCGTTACGAAGTGGCAAGTGTAAACTATTCGTCTACAGTCTTTGAATCCTATAGGACTGGCAAATAAAAAGACAATAATATGTAGTAATTCGTAATTAATTCCAGATTGGAACGTGGTTTCCGTCTTTCGCTCCCGTGGACCAACCCGTTGCCTAACGCGCGTTGGCACGATGAAAACTAATACTGATAATTCTTCGCACCATTAAATCTAATAATCTGTCATTAATTATTCGGATGAAGAAAACACGTTGGCAGGCCGCACGTGTTTATTTATAAAACAACAAAAATAAACCCGACAAATTCATTCGCTTTGCAATATTTGAAAGGAATTTCATCGGAATTCCTTAATTGTGATAATCAAGGCAATGAAAGTGAATGTGAGAATAAATTGCAGTGTGGTTACAATTTAAGAACTTCAGATGGGATGAGTTTTTGCTTTCCCTGAGATATTTAAAGCTTATCTGTATATATAATGAACAAAATGGTTGCTTATTACACGCTTGTGATTAATATGAGCCGGAAAAGTACGAGTAAAAAAAAATACATACCATTACTTGTGGCATTCACTTTCGTTGTCTTCAACATCGCAATCTGCTGACTATTATTCCTAATTATTACGATAACAAATACTGGGTGGAAATGCTCGAAGGCCACCGTAGGGTTTATGAAACCGCGGAGAGGTCACGCGACCGCGCCCGAGCCCCATTGGGCACGCGGCATTTCTACGGCCGATGGAGGGCCGCGCGGATGGATCGGCACGCTCAATGCTTTCCTCGTGTCCGCGTGCTTGAAATACGAGTTCCGAAATTCTGGCAGAGCGACCTGGTAGGCCCGTGCCAGGGCCGGCCTTCTCTATAAAGGGGCCCGGGTGCAAGAAACTATTTGGGTCCTACATTTTTTGTAAAATAAAAAAAATTACAAACACAAACATATATTAATGCATGTTTATTTAAAGCGTGATTTTGTTCTTGCTAATACATGAATTACTTGAGGAAAATTATAATTTTTGCAATTTCTTTTTCAATGCTTAATATAGCAATTGCATTAAGCGTTCTGCACACATGCTGGATCGAAATAATTCTTTATTAATTTTAATTTGCTGAAAGAGCGCTCAGCACTTGCTATAGTAACTGGCAACGCAAAGAAAAGTTTTAACACAGTTAATACATTTAGAAATAACTCATTATAATTATTATTTAGTATGTATTGCATATGTCTTGTGTGTTATTTACATCTCTTTCATTCAAAATCAAATCCCGTAGCAAACCAATTTCCTGGAATAGGTTTTCATCTAGGGGAGATCCTTCTACTTTGGGACGCTTTTCTTTAAACCTTTATAATTTAAGTTCAAATTGATCTTTAGCTATGACTATTGAATATTTCTATTAGTAATTGATAACATCATTAAATATGGTGCAACACTTGACCCTATGCTATTTTATTTATGAGAAAATGTCAAATAATTATTTGCAGATATTTGTCCCAAGGTACAATCATGGATTGTACCTCGGGACACCAATGTTTGTACCTTGGGACACGAACAATCCTAACATTTTTGTAAATCTTAACTTCCGCCAGATGAAAAAATAGTTTATCCAAGTCTTTTCCCTTATAACAATATTGGCTTTATCAGTTAACAAAAATGNAAAGTCGAATTTAGGTGGGGATTCTCGGGAGTTTCCCGAATCAAATAACAAAAACTAAACATTCGCATCACCGAGAATTAGTTTGAAGATTGTCGAAATTCAGAGATTACAATAATAATGTTTACGATAAAATGTACTTTTCGTCATACTGACAACGATAGGAATATTGTCGAGTTTTCTTGCGCATTCTTGACAATGTTAGGGCCCCCTCAATCGCGGGGCCCCGGTGCACAGCATCCGCCGCACCCCCTTGATGGCCGGCCCTGCCAACAGAAGTGGATTGCCGCCAGCGTCCGGCTAGGGTAACCGATGTAATTTAATAGATATTGTATTTACAGACATTAGATAGCGACTTTGGGCGCGGGCCGTGTTGAAGGGGAAGATGGCGACGGCGGCTGCCAGAGAGGTGGTAGGCGCGCGCGAGAAGAGCTAAGAAAGGGGAGCGCGCGGTTTTTTTTAACGCGAAGCGTTCCCTGACATCCCGAGAACGCCCCCATGAAAATCCGGAGCTTTTTTGGGGCGCGGAGTCACATGACCGGAAATGACGTAGCCGTTTCTTCGCGAGACAATATGTCGCAAAGAGTCACATATACAGGTATGGTTCTTTTGACTTTTATGCCGCACGAGGGGGTCTATATTCTGGAGGCGGGTCAAAAAACCTTCATTTGAAGCTAAAATCGTGCATTGTAGTTTTATAATTTTTCCTTTAATTATACCGTCGTTAACCTTCCTAAATAATATTTTCGTTCTTCCATTTTAAAGTAAGCTATCTTTCGAACGCGCCTTGTTTACAACCGCATTGATCTGCGGCGACAAGGTGTGACGTGATCGCTTGTCCCCCTATTGGATGCCGGGTCCATAGAGCGGTAAGCTTCCATCTTAACCCTTCGGCCATCCGCTGTCGATAGGGGCAATATGTGGGTTTCTCCAATTAAGATTTATTGTAATTATTCTTATTTCGGAAATTATAAATAAATAAAAAACAATATCTGCAGATAAAATTATATCAAATACATTTTTATTGATTGGCTACGTCATGTATTTTTCCGATCTCAGCCGAACGCGACGGTTCGTATCACTCGACCTAACTAAAACACAATTTTCTCCTTTGTTACTAATTAATAAAATTTCTAAACCCCAAATTATTAATTTTGTAAGATTTCTATAATTTGTTTAAAATTTTAAAAAAGGCGGTGGAATGACGCAATGTGGGAGTGCAAATGGCGCCCAACGGGTACACGTGATCGTGGAGGATGAGCGAGAAAATCGTATCGAAGTCGAGCGAGAAGACGAATTCTATAACTCCCTCTCAACAGATGATATCTTCTTGTGCGGGAGCTTTTATCACTTCTGTTTTCGGTGAGTATAGCGTAACGTGTTCGTGGATTTACCATTATAAATATATGATAACCTTTCCCATACTATAATAATTGAGTCTGGCAATGTTTGCATGTGTGTTAGAGTTTTGTTTCGTCTATGGGGATCATTTTATGGTAAAAGTCCATCCTTTATACATGGGGCGTTTTTTTCTAATTTTGCTCTCTCAAGATACCTCCTTGTACCAGCAAAATGTTAATGGAACCGTACACGTACGTGCGACCCTTCGCCAGATATTTGCCTCCAAAGGTCAGATTTCTCTCCGATTGATACGCTGCCCGTGTCGGTCGAGGCGACGACGGCAGGCCGGTCTCGTCGGACGTGCCTCGCGTGGTCGTTCGTATCTCGGCATCCACCCGGGGCGAGTCTCCTTGTTCCCCTAAAACTATATAATGTCGAGTGGGCTATTCGAAGTTGGCGTAGTCGCCCGGGCCGAGTAGTCGAATGTTGTGGTCTTGCGACTCCCGATTATCCGTGACCCGAAAGCGGGCCGATTTCGGCGGTCTTACCTTGCTGGGGTCGCGCGTCGAGGTACGGTTCCTTTGACTTCCTAGTTCCCGTTGGTGTGGTCTACGGCTCCCGCCGGGTCCCGACCGTCTCGTTCAGAGACGTAATTGTACCGCTAGATCGATATAAGCCTTATAAGAATGTAGAAACAAATTTTGATTTTGATACTTTGCCATAAAAATTTATAAACTTGAAATGGAATTTCAATTTTATATTCTTAAATTAAAATTCAGTTCCAGTTTTGAGTTTTCGTTAGTACGCATTTAACGTTGCGAGAATTTCCACGATCGTGCTTTTTTGGGATGCCGAAGCTCTCTTTCGTCGGATATTTTAAAACTGCTGTCGATGCTTATCGTTTTCAAAGTACGGAGCATTGGTTTTAGTTAAAACTTAAAAAATAAATTTGATCCTGGTGAACCTTTTATGAAGTTCTGTATCTTAGTTATTGGAATATTTATGTTAACCTGCAGATTTAAAGTTTAAGTTAAAGCTCAATTTGTTTCTGTTTCGTGATTTGTTGCGCAAGTCAGAGTGTAAATATTGCACCCTACCCATATTTTCATCTTTTAAAAAACAATATTTCTAAAAGTATTTAGATTCTTTTCTTATACTTTTAAGTTTAAGAAAAAAATGTAAAAGAACAATGCTAAAAAGCTATGAATTTGAGACTATATTTTTGCAAAAAGTTATTTTAAAAGAAGTAGGTACTATATGTAACCAAATTAAGCATTGCACAGACTTCAAACTTGCAAATGATTATAAAATATTGGATTGGTATTTTTTATTGCTATAAACATCAGTACATATTTTACAGTATAATTTGATTTTTTGTGTTCGTATGGTTTCTTATTCTCTAATGTCATTTTGTGTTTTGAGTTTTAATTTGTAACAGTTTTTTACTTGAATGTGACAAGTAAAATTGATATTAGTATATTTGAATATACAGTATTTACTTGAATTTAAGATGCATCCTATTTTCAGAGATGCTAAAATCTGAAAAATATGTATTTTACATTGGAGTAAATGTACTAACTTGTAGATTCTTCCATCTTAGATTCTTTGTCAAATGTGATTCTGAAGTAATATTTGCACATTTATTGAAATTTGTATAATCTGAAAGAAAGATGTATTTTGTATTCTGTTTATTAGTGACGCCACTTGATGTAGTGAAAATTCGTCTTCAAGCTCAGCAAAAGGAATTTCTGAAGCGAAAGTGCTTTCTGTACTGTAATGGTTTAATGGAACACACCTGCTTTTGCCCTAACAATGGCACGCAGATGCAGTGGTATCAGAGGCCGGGCCATTTTACGGGAACGGTCGTAAGTTAAATTTCATAAATATTAATCAATTAATTACTTTAATTAATTTTGAAATATTCATTTATGTAATTTGTTTTGATTTAGGATGCTTTAATTAAAATTTCTAGAAACGAAGGAATGTTTTCTCTGTGGAGTGGACTTCCGCCTACACTGTACATACAACATAAATATATTCAATTTTTGTGAATTTTTTAACATAACTCAGATTTATTTTTCAAATAATTTAAAAAATTTCAATAGCGTTATGGCAATTCCGGCCACCGTCGTCTATTTTACCATGTACGATCAGATTCGCGAGAGACTGACCAACTACTTTAACAGATCGTCTCCGCCGCTCTGGATACCTGCGGTTGCGGGCAGTTTGGCCAGAGGTAAGGAGAATTTCAAGAATTAGATAAATAAAAATTTGTTATATAATTCTTCTATCATTCTAATTTACAGTTGTTTCTGTCTCTGTGATCAGCCCTTTAGAATTAATCAGAACAAAAATGCAGTCTAAAAAGTACAGTTATGTTGGTATGTAAATAAATTAACAGAATATGAAAGAGTATAAATAATATAATTTTAAATTAAATAGTTTACTTTTCATTTAGAACTAACTACAGCAGTTAAAATGCAGGTTCAGGCCGAAGGAATTGGATCTCTGTACAGAGGATGGGTGCCTACAATTTTAAGAGACGTTCCATTTTCGGGTAAATTTAGATATTTGAAAATTATATTTCTATAGAATCTGAACGAAAACAAATGAAAATTTATTATTTATAGTTTTACATGTCTGCATTATAAAATAATTGAAATTATAGAACCCTTCAGTTAAAGAAGTTCTAAATTAGATTGTAGATGAATGTTTCCAAAATGATTCTTGAAAACATTCATCTATGATCTAATTTAGTATTTCTTTAACTGAGGAGTTGTTTTAGATTTCTAAATAAACAAGAAGGAAATGAAAGGAAATGGCACTATAATTATTAGAAATTTAACAAAATCTTAAAATTTTTGTTTGTAAGAAATAAATTTAAAATAACAAATTTAAACATGAAGCTGATGATAACTTCAAAAACATTTTATTTATTAAAGCTTAGAAATTTTTTTTATGCTTATAAATTGTACTAATATTTAGTTTGTTTAATTATTTAATTCAAAAAGTAAAATAGGAAAATAGAAATATGTTTTTTCTTAAATAATAATAATTTCTGTAGCGATATATTGGGGTGTTTATGAATCTTTCAAGCACACTTACAATCAACAGAAACCTGCCACTTGGTTTTCTTTTATGGCAGGAGCCATTTCTGGAACAGTAAGCCAAATTATTAGCTATCTCAAAAACAATAATTTATTATTTAAAAAACAATAATTTCTATTCTTAAGATAGCAGCCGTTTTGACTTTACCTTTTGATGTTATCAAGACGCATCGTCAGATAGAGTTGGGAGAAATAGAAGCATTAAAAACCAGTTCAAGTTAAGAACAGATAATTATACTGTTTATAAAAAAATTTTATTAGTTAATAATAATTATTAAATTTGAATTTATTATCTAATTCATTTAAATAATAATAATTTTCATTAATTGCAGAACAAGCAAATGCTTCAACATATGAATTAATGAAAAATCTATACCGGAAAAGAGGACCTACTGCTCTGTTTGCAGGTATTTTATTTGATAGTTTCAAAAAGTTTTATTTACAGAGTTTGCTCTGTAAATAAAACTTAAATTTTTAAATTGACAGTAAAGCAATCGAGGTGATTGTAGTATATTTCAGACTGATGACAGCTTTTAAACATAAATATCTTCCTATTCCAAAGTTTAATGATCAGCTGCCTTGATGAATCAGCACTATCTGTGTCTTTCTCGTCCATCATCATCTATCAATTCTTTCTTTATCACGTCATTTTTTATTTTATGTCTTCATCTCATCTGTCTTCCCTGTGATCTATTCCCTACTACCTATTTTCTTTATTGGTTCTATATTCTCTCTATGCATCAAATATCTAAGAACACGTATACATAAAGTAAGACACTATAAATGAGTTTTGCAAGTAAAAATGTTTTATGGAATAATTCTCATTTACACAATTAATTATTATTAGAATTATAAATTTACTGTTATTTTTTGATGTAATGCATAATGCTTAATTCTCAAAATGAATTATAGTTGTTTAATCCTGTGTTTTGTATTGATAGCGCAAAGTTATGTTTCATTATATGAGTTGCATATATTCCATTTTAAAATTTCAGTTATTTTTTTTTATTAAGGAATTAATATAGACATTTTGTTTAAATAAAACTAAATAAAAATATCTTATTATCTATATAAATCTAATCACTTAATGCCAGATTATTTAGGACTATATTCGTAATTTAATATAATTTTTAATACATGATCATCCAAATGTCTGTTTTTAGTATAAATTCTTTTAGATGTCTAATTATAAATTATTTAATAGTAATTCAAACACAAATAATTATCGTATTTATCTTCAGGCACTTGGCAATACTCATCATCAAGTTTTTTTCAGTTGATACGTGTTGTTATTACACACGTTTCGGGCATTTATTGCCCCTCTTCAGCCAACTTTTTAATTACAGGTTATCAAGATATTAAAAACCACAGGTTTCATTGCTTATGTTTACTGGTTGTTAGTAGTAATTCAAATACAAATAATTATCGTATTTATCTTCAGGCACTTGGCAATACTCATCATCAAGTTTTATTCAGTCAAATTCAAACACAAATAATTATCGTATTTATCTTCAGGCACTTGGCAATACTCATCATCAAGTTTTTTTCAGTTGATACGTGTTGCATAAATACGATAATTATTTGTGTTTGAATTACTACTAATAACTACAAGCACGGTTTCAAAAGTACCAGAATACTAAATTATTTAAGTTATAGCATAAAATAATATGGCATTAACAAATTTCATTAACAGAGAAGTTATTATTTTTGCTTTGTTAAGTATTGATAAAATTAAAAAATACTTATTTAACTATATTTTTTTTTAATCACAGGAAACAAAGCTTTTTACAAAAATTTATTTCAGTCAGTCATTGCAAACCCATTTCCAGTATTTATTACATCATTTCCTAACACCATTACAAAAATATTGAACACATGGCAGTATTAATCTTTCGAAATATATAATACAGAACTAGTTATGTGAATGAATATTTTTTTAGTTACAGACTTAACAATTAAAAGCCAAACTCTAATGGATTACAGTTGTAATTCCCTAGATTATAGCTTTAGATTGCTGATGCTGTAGCAAATTAAAACATTAAAAGTTGTGCAGATGAAAATCATTAAAACACGAATGGCTATTGAAAGAATTACATTTTGTTGTCTATCTCTCTATCAAACAGGCCTTGTGAATGATACATATATAATCCACAAAATAGCTTTTTCTGTGATTCTTCTAAACTTTCATTATTGTTTCATTTACTTATTATATTATTTTTATTTATGATGCTCTTAAATTCACTAATTATGATAGTATAGTCATAATAAAACTACTATTATTCTAAAATTTTTTAATAGTTTACATATTTTGTTTTACTGTTAAATGAAATTTAGATTAAGTTAAATTGTATAATTTTTCTAAATCGAGATTCTTAAATTTTTGTTAATCATTTTTTAGTTTTTTTATTACTTGTATATAAATAAGTTACAGAGAATTTTTAGGAAATGTAAAATAATAATAAATATTCTTAAGGCATTTTCTGAGAAATTAAATATGTGATAGATTTTTAGTTGTTATACAAGTAGATGCACTATTAAGTAATCTGTTGTTGATGCAATAATAAATAAGCAAATTTATTTTATATATGCTACTTTCAATCTAAATTTATACCTTATAAAATTGTTTGTTTTATTTACACATTTAATTTTTAACTTTCGTTGAAATTATTGTAAAATTTGTATATAATAATACGTTATACCCTTGGTTAACAGATTAATGGATGAAAATTGTCAGAGTTTACAATATCAACATTGTCCAAGTTGGTATGGTACTAACTTGGACAATACAATTTATAAATATTTTTATGTAATATAAATGTTTTTAATACATCAATTAATAATTCTTATTGTTTAGAAGAACTTTAAATGATAATTTGTTTAAAAAATTTTTAAAAACTGAAACAATGTGTGTCTAAAAATTTAGATAATTTTACAAAACAATGATATTTGTTGAAAATAGTTAATACATTTTATGCTTAATATTTAATTAACTTCCCTTTACATGAAATTAATTCAAAAACTCTATTTTCCATTGTTAAAATAAAATTTTTAATGGTTTTATCTGGTAAATTATTCCAACACTTTTCATTTTCAGATTTTAGATTATGTATGGTTGAGTACTGCTTGCAATAGGCATATATCTGTGTAGATATAATGCCCCAAAGATTTTCAATAGGGTTCAGGTTGGTTCAGGTCCAGGCTGCTTGTTCTCTACTGAAACATATTTTGGATACTTTTAGAGTTCTTGCCAATAGAAGGCCCACTCATCAGGGCCATCTAAATTCCACTTTTTTTCCATCACTAGACACTACACCTTTCCATTGTTTTTTCTACAACATGTATTTTCTTGCCTAGTCTAATCTTGCCTCAATGTATTTTGGTTTTAAGGGAGGATGTTTGGCCATTCTTGTGTTGTTGTTGATAGTTTTAATACATTATGAATGGTGCCATATAGTACATATATTATGATCCAAATTTACGACAGTTTTTCAAACAGATATTGTAGAATTTGAAGCAAGCTTTAAATTCTCCTTTCATCACATTCAGTAGTCACTTTTGGTCTTTCAGTTCTTGGTTTAGGTATGAAATTTTCACTATTTTTAATAACTTTATGTATTCCTGAAGCAGACATGAATTTGTTTAGCAATTTGATTAACTGTATCACCTTCTGCTTTTCTTTCCTAAATGTAAACTATATCATTGTCAGAGAATTGTTTGTTTCTTGGCATATTAATATTACAGATAAAGCACTTGTTGAAACTTGTTCAAATAATTCCCTCGTGATATTGTAAAGAATTGAATGAAACTATTAATACTTCAAAAGTTTAAAGATGTAAAACATCTTATTAATGTAAAAAGTGTTGAAAATTTGCTGAGAGTAACAAATTTTTCTACATAGGATCCATTTACAGATCAATGACTCTCAACATCAAAGAGCATTTCAAATCCATTACCAGATACCTAACAAATAGCACAATTTTAATACAGTAGGCTCAGAAAAAGAATTAGAAGTATGTTGAAAACAACTCGTAATACTTAGAAGCCAGTATGGAATTAAAAATATAAGAATTTTGGAGCAGTATTTCATTTACATCTTAAAAATGCATCTAAACATCATTAATGCATAGGACAAGAGTGCTAGAAATAAGATATTGGGAGGATATAGTTACACAATTGCAAGACAAAGGCAGTGTGATATAAGTGTAAAATACTTTTAGCTGAACTGGAAGGCATTGTTAATACTAAGCATGCATAAGATTTGATTTTAACAAATTGGAATGAAAATGTATACTTTGAATTATCCTTCAATCCATTAAAAATTATATAAAGTTGGAAAATGTATCATTTTAAATATTGTTTGATCCATAAAAAATATTTGAATTCAGTGGGAACGGTGACTTATGTTCATTAAGAAGCTGAAGCTGTCCCAAATCATTCCTTTGTGGGAAAATTTAAATAGTTCCCTACCTGAAAATAAGCATTTAATGCAGATAATACTATGGAACCAGAAACATGCAGTAATATTTGAAAATTTGCATGTTATGTAGTGCAATATGATGTTTCAAAGTTATTCCATTTAAGTGTAACACTTCCCTCTATGATTTCAAAGTCAATGAAACCAAAATTTTCACTTATTGTAATCTTAATTGCTTGCCCTGTTTAATGCTTTTGGTTATCATTATCAATATAGGCAAGCCCAAACTGTGTACAATGAGTGGGTTCTTCTGTATTAGAAAGATTGAGTTAACTTATTCATTTAAAAGATGAAACTGTGAAACTGGAAAAATGTAAATTACTCAAACACCAACATCTCTACTTCTCAGCAATACTTTTTCAATTAAAGAAGTGTTTTCAATCTCAAAAGTGCTTCTGAAAAGTAAGGGTAGTGCTGTATGAATTAACTTTTTTTTTGTTTTGAAAAATATGAATGAATTTCTAATCTAATCGAATTCACAATGAAAATTGTAATTGTTTCTGTTTATAATTTGATATCTGCTGTGGTAAATGGCACAAAAGACAAAGGAATTGACATACACATCATGTTAATATTTTTAGATTGAAAATGCTTGAAAATTCTTATCGTTCATTTATCTTTAACAGACAAGATCATATACTGCCCTAAAGTTTAAGTCGTAGGATATTAAATAGTTTTTTTGTTTAACTATGGAAGATTGTGAGATATCCAAACAAAAAAAAAACTTAATGTTTATAATTAAGTAGAGAAAAGGATATGTGGAGAAAGTAAAGAAGATATATTAAACAAGATTCTGTAATGATTACGTCATCCTGTTTATTATTTTATTCAGAAATCTCACAATGTCAAATTGTATTTCAGTTTATTTACTTGAGGATGTAAGGCCTATGAACAATGGATAGAAATGTCAGGAAGAAGCAATTATTATTGATA